GTATACAAAACAAAAACTACAACTTCTAGTTCTCTCTCTTAATAACACCATACACAGTATATAAGTATACTTGAATATTTCATAGTAATGGCTTATAGGCATAAGCACAGGTGAAACTGGTTTTATTATTAAAACTTCATATATTTTTAAATTAACCTTGAGAAAGGAATGATTTAATTCATTCTTTAAAAGAGTTTCAATCTAATCAGGGTAGCACTGTAGCACCGTCCTTCCGTTGTTCATTGATTTGTTCGAGTGGGCACCAGTAATGTCTCCATTGTGAGACTTGTTGTTACTGTCTTTAGCATATTGAATATGTCATACGTAGCTTGCCAGGCTTTGCTGTGCGGGTGGGATACTCTCGGTAGCTTGCTGGGCTCTCAGAGAGGGAAGGAGGAATCCAACTCAGGTTGGCTGTGTGCAAGGCAAACATCCCTACCCGCTGTGCTATTGCTCCAGTAATTCCTTGAATACTTTTAAACACAAACTTAAGTAATGAACCTCAAAATATGAGTGTTACAAGTGGAACTTAAAGATAAATAATGCCTTTTTATAGCACATAGACATTTGTTATGCCGACTTATGTCCTCAGTTGCCTTCAAATTTTGTTGAACCTCACAGCATGCCTATAGAGAACCAGAGCAGCCAGAGTTGCCAAACAGGAGGCCCTTAGGGTCCACAGTAATGTAACCACAACTGTTCAAAAACATTGTCATGGGACAGATTCTAACAGATCTCCCACCCCCTAAAAGTACCCTTAGAAGGTCTCTCTGAGATTTAAACAAAACAGACTGGCCTGAGATATGTAGTTTTTGAAATGACAAAATGTTCCTGAAAAAATGTATCTTACTCTAATTTACTAAAGAGATCATTTGGTATCAATCTACATTTACCAGTTAAAACCTGAATAATTATTACTATACTGTCACTGTCACTGTCCTCCTGTTGTTTATCGATTTGCTCGAGCGGGCTCAGTAACGTCTCCATTGGAGACTTTGTTGTTACTGTATTTGGCATATCGAATACATCACGGGTAGCTTGCCAGGCTCTGCCGTGCGGGCAAAATACTCTCAGTAGCTTGCCAGGCTCTCCGAGAGGGGTGGAGGAATCGAACTCGGGTCGTCCATGTTGGCTGTGTGCAAGGCAAACGCCCTACCGCTGTGCTATTGCTCCAGCCCAATTATTACTATACTTATGCAAAATAACTATTTTGATGTAACCATACTTAGGTCAAAATCAACACTAAAGGGAAAACTGTGTTTCAATAACATATATTTTTTGGTAAAAATCAGATTATAGTCCTCTTTATTTAACAAGACCTCATCAGGTCCTCCTGACCATACCCTCCCCCACTGTCAAGATAATAAGATAATCCTTCATCAATACATCTATTCCAAAATCAAAAAGGTATAAGACTCCTCTGCCCCTGCTGAGACTAAATTCTAATACAACCTTAAAATAATTCTCTTATGAAAAAACAAAAGAACAAAACCCCTGCTAATCTTGTGGGACCAATTATACGTCATTTCTTATGTCTCCAAGATTTTATTGCTATCTCCTATTTATTATGAGCCTCCACATAACAGTTGCTTGATTTCCCACTCTCTTTGTCAGAACTCTCAAATATATGGAACCTTTAGTTATTGAGTTCTCGCCTGAAAAATCTATTCCACCTCCACCACCCTTCCCTACTGCCGGAGGTCACAGCAGACACACACCCACATCTAGAAGCCACCATGAAAGCAATGGCCCAGCTTTACAGCTTTACCATGAATCTCATAAGGGATGCAAGCCAAGCCAACCTGCTGAAACTTTCGCACCCAATTCTACAGGTCCCAAAGTTCCTGAAGTGTGCAGCCACATATGTGGCCACCTGACACCACTAAATTCTACAACAGTGACAGCCCGGTAGGAGCACATCAAATTAGTGGAAGCTATCATAGAAACCAACTAAGCTCAATAAACAAAAACATTAAAACAGAAGGCTTATCTAGCAACAAACAGCTTAGTAAACCCTCAGACAAGGACATCAACATATTTATTGTGTGATATAAAATTTTTCACAAATTTTATTTTACTGAAGTAGTTTTCAATAAATCCAGTAGCCATTTTGATACAAAAAGCAATATAAAAGAAATTATTTTGTGCCTGTCGAGGAGGCAGGCCTGGTGCATGGGTGGGAAATGGGGGACAATGTTGGAGGGAAGGTCATACTGGTGGTAGGATGGGTGTTGTAACATTGAATTCTCTAATCAAGGGTATCATGAACAATTTTGCAAAACAAAGTACTTAAATAAATGTTTAAAATTTTATTCCAAACCGTGCTGTGCTCTCTAGCATGTGCTTGGCTAGGGAAAAAAGGCAAATTTTCAGCATCTCAGTATGATTGGAAACTTTCAGGGAAAGCTCAGAACCACTCAGAGCGGCTGCCTCACACGCACACTACCAAGGCTATATCAGAAGGAAAACCAAAGGAAACCAAAGGAAAATGACCATCTGGATGAGGCTGGGCTCCAGACACGGGGAAGAGAGAGTGAGCCCGCGAACACGGCTGCCGGGAACACCTCACGAAGGCGCCGCTGTGGAAACGCGCGGGCCTGCTCTTCCCTCGCCAGGGTTAAACTCTGTCTAGCCTCTGTCTTACACCAACAGAATCCCGAGCGCCCACGCCCCCCCCCCCGCCCCCAACGCCACTCTGAGGCGAGGCGGACATGACCCAGGAGTGAAGATTAAGGGCGAAGCAGAACCCCGCACACGGCCGTGCGGGACAGCACGATCCTCCGTGACCGTGAGGGGGAAACCGTCCGCTGTCTGCCAGCGGCTGGAGGGCCGCACGCCAGACTTGGCTTCGGTCTCGACCTCGGCTTTCTGTTCCCGCCACCCTGCAGTGCGGTGTGGTGCGGAGAGGCGGGTGTAGGCTCCGTCTCTCCACAATGCAAAGCTCTGGGGGCGATGAGGAACTGAAGTGAGGTGGCGGGGAAACATGTGTGAGGAGGACCGCGGGGACGGTTGCGGGGATCACAGGACGAGACAGGGGCTACTTTCCGGGGAGGTGGGTGCGAGGGCCTCCGCAGTAGGGCCAGTGCATGTGGGGCGACCTGCTGGATGCTGGGTTTTCACAGATAAGTCCTTGGCGTCCAAGGGCAAGGGAGAAAGGCGGGAAGACAAGGGAGAGGTTTTAGGGGGGGGCAGAGGAAGGGGATAACAGATAGGGGCAGGGGAGGGCGGCAAGCTCATGGGCACGCCCCCTGCACTATGAGCCAATTGGAATGCAGAGGGCTCCAGACAGGCATTACAAAGTCTGCATTTCAACCAATGATCGGTGAGTGTCCCACCCCCCACGGACTATCTATACCTTGTTTCAAATTTGTACGCTTGGCGCCAGAAGCTCGGAGCAGAGCAGCGAGAGGCTGCAGAGATCCGTAGCGGACCGGCCAGACCATCAGAGGCCATCCGAGCCACCTGGTGACCTGACCAGTGGCAGGGTCGGCTGTTGGACTGCTCTGAGCTACCTCGCACTGCTGCCGTGCATCGTAGCGCTCGAAACTGCAACACACCACAGCCCACTGAGGCGGCGTTCCCAGACGACCCGTCCATCGACTCTTCGTGCACGTCAGCACACCGCCATACCGCAGCGATCGGCCCCTCAGAGGAGGTGTTCCCATTGCCGTCACTTTGACCACCATGCAGCGCAGTACAGCACACCACAGAGGTGGAGCCAACGAAGGAGGCGCTCCCACAGCCGGCTCGTCACACCGCGCTGATCAGCCGGGAAGCGCCATGCACGCCACGCAGCGCGGCCGAGCTCGAGCCACTGAAGGAGGCGCTTCCACAACTGGCTCGCGGCGTCGCGCTGACCAGTCAGGAAGCGCCGTGCACGCCACTCAGCGCGGCCGAGCTCGAGCCAACGAAGGAGGCTCTCCCACAACCGGCTCGTCGCGTCGCACTTTCCAGCCAGGAAGCACCGTGCACGCCACACAGCGCAGCCGAGCTCGAGCCAACGAAGGAGGCTCTCCCACAACCGGCTCGTCGCGTCGCGCTGACCAGCCGGGAAGCGCCGTGCACGCCACACAGCGCGGCCGAGCTCGAGCCAACGAAGGAGATGCTCCCACTACGCGTCCTGCTGACCAGCCTCGAAGTGCAGTGCACACCATAGAGCGCAGCCGAAATCGAGTCAATGAAGGTGATCCCACAGCCGGGCCATCACGTCATGCCGACCAGCCTGGAAGCGCAATTCCTCGCAATCAATCCCAACGTTCAACCAGCCGTCAACAGCACATCAGAAGCCAGAGGCCGCACCACCTTCGCTCCAGAACCGCCAGAGCAGAGCTGGCTTTCTCTGTTAGTCATGTGGAGCACCACCTGCGGGAGGGCCACTACGCCCGGAGGCTGAGCGAGTCTACCGCCGTGTACATGGCCGCCGTGATCGAGTACCTGACGTCCACGGTGCTGGATCTGGCAAGCAAGGAGGCCCACAACAGGGGCTGCAGGCGCATTACCCCCGAGTTCCTCGACATGGCCATCCACAATAATTCGCTGCTCTGCGACCTCCTGGGCCCCACCACCATCTCCCAGGTGTCCCCCGGCTGCTAGGAGCCGCTCGGCCTTCCCCGCACCCGCGCCCGGGGCCTGGTCGCCCTCTACGCCGGCGCCCCTGGAAAGTTTGCTGAAGCCAATACAGTGCTGAAAGAAGCCTCTGTGTGTGCGCTGCGGTCACTCTGCGAGCCGACAGGTGGGGGGGCTCCCCGCTGGGACGGCCGGGAATTCCCTGGGCTGCAGGGACTGGCGGGTGGTCGGGCTCCCTAGGCCGCGGCTGCGGGTGCTCAGGTTCCCCGGGCCGGGCCGTGGGGGACGGGGTGCGGGTGGGGGTGGGGGGCGGGGCGGAGAATGGGCTGCTGGCTGGGGGCGTGGGCTGGGCACCACGAGGCGCAGGGAGGTTCCGGGCCCGGGCCGGGCACCACGAGGCGCAGGGAGGGTCGGGGCCCGGGCTGCGGGTGAGGATGCGGGAGAGGGTGCGCTGCCTAGACTGGAGCGTGGGCGAGAGCCTCAGGGGCCCGGCGCCCAGAGCCCCGCACGCGGTGCTCATCGGTGTGCGGCTGGGGGCCTGGCCGGGCCTTCGAGGCCTTCGAGGGCTTCGAGGCGCGCGGAACGCCAGTGCGGGGCGCAGGGCGGCACCCGGGGGCTGGGGGGGGGGCAGGGGCTGTGTGGCAGACGGCGAGGCGCGCTGCGGGGCAGGCGTGAGGCAGCGGGCCGGGTCGGAGTGACAGTGCGGAGGGGCCCGAGGAGACAGCAGCGGCCCTCCGTCACCGCGGAAGGCGGCTGCGTCCCGGCGGCGCCGGGCTTCGGCCCAGGCCAGGCGCGCGGAACTCCCCCCACGCCACGCCGCGCCGCGCCGCGCTCTCCAGCCCCTTCCGGGCCGCCGGGCCCCGCGCGGGGGGAGGCGGGCGGGATCTCGCGAGCCCCCGCGGGCCGGGCCGGGCCGGGCCCGACCCGCCTCGCGCCCGCTACCGGCCTATCAGCGCGGCGAGTCGGCCGGCGGGGGCGGGCCCTCGGGCGCGGGCTCTCGGGAGTGGCCGGCCCGCGCGTCCGTCAGGCGCGCATCCGGGCCAGAGGGCACGGCCGGCAGCCCGGAAGAGGGCGGCGGCCAACATGGCGGCGTCCGCGGCCGGCCTGAGCGGCCTGGGGGGCGGCGCCGGCAGCGGCGGCGGCGGCGGCGGCCTGGGCGGCGGCGCGGGCGGCGGCGGCGGCCTGGGCGGCGGCGCCGGCGCGGTGCCCGAGGCCGGGGACTTCCTGGCCCGCTACCGCCAGGTGTCCAACAAGCTGAAGAAGCGGTTCCTGCGGAAGCCGAACGTGGCCGAGGCCGGCGAGCAGTTCGCGCAGCTGGGCCGCGAGCTGCGCGCCCAGGAGTGCCTGCCCTACGCGGCCTGGTGCCAGCTGGCCGTGGCGCGCTGCCAGCAGGCGCTCTTCCACGGCCCCGGGGAGGCGCTGGCGCTCACCGAGGCCGCCCGCCTCTTCCTGCGGCAGGAGCGCGACGCGCGCGAGCGCCTCGTCTGCCCCGCCGCCTACGGCGAGCCGCTGCAGGCCGCCGCCAGCGCCCTGGGCGCCGCCGTGCGCCTGCACGTCGAGCTGGGCCAGCCGGCCGCCGCCGCCGCCCTGTGCCTCGAGCTGGCCGCCGCCCTGCGCGACCTGGGCCAGCCGGCCGCCGCCGCCGGCCACTACGAGCGCGCCGCGCACATGCAGCTGCCGCTGCTGCCCCTGGCCGCGCTGCAGGCGCTCGGCGACGCCGCGTCCTGCCTGCTGCTGGCGCGCGACTACACCCGCGCCCTGGCCGTCTTCACGCGCATGCAGCTCCTGGCGCGGGAGCACGGCAGCCGCCCGGGGCCGCCGCCGCCGCCGCCGCCCCCTGCCACCGCCGCCGCCGCCGGCCCCGCGGCCCCGCCCGGCCCCAGCGCGGGCCCGGCCGCCTCCTCCTCGCAGCCGCCCCCGCCGCCGCCCGCCGCCGCCGCCGCCGCCGCTTCCTCCTCCTCGGCCACGGCCACGGGCACGGCCGCCACCGCCGCCGCCGCCGCGCCGTCGCCCGCCCTGCTGGGCGCCTTCTCCGACGTGCTGGTCCGCTGCGAGGTGTCCCGCGTGCTGCTGCTGCTGCTCCTGCAGCCGCCGCCCGCCAAGCTCCTGCCGGAACACGCGCGCACCCTGGAGAAATACTCCTGGGAGGCGTTCGACGGGCACGGGCAGGAGAGCGGCGGCCCGCTGCCCGAAGAGCTCTTCCTGCTGCTCCAGTCCCTGGTCATGGCCACCCACGAGAAGGACACCGAGGCCGTCAAGTCGCTGCAGGCCGACATGTGGCCTCTGCTGAGTGCCGAGCAGAACCACCTCCTCCACCTCCTGCTGCAGGAGACCGTCTCCCCCTCGGGCCAGGGCATCTGAAGAACCGGCCTCCGCCGCCGCCGCCGAAAGAACCCCCGTCCCCCCACCCCACCCCGGGCCGTGGAATCTGACAGCCGGCCACCGAAACAACCCCACCACCCCCACCCCCCACCCCCCGCCTGCCGCGTGCCCCTCCCCAAACCCGTGCGCGCGGGCCTCCTTCCCTCGCTCTCTCCTGGCGGCTCCCTCGGGCCAGGGCATTTCTCAACCGGCCACCAAAACGGCCCCGCCTGCCTGCCCCGTGCCCCTCGCCAAATCCGCCTGGGCGTCCCTTCCACCCTCCCGGTGGCTCCCTCCCTCGGGCCAGGGCATCTGACAACCCCCCCTCCCCCGTGCCCTTCACCAAACCCGCCTGGGCCTGCCGCCCGCCCTCTCTCCCTCCCGGCTAGCCCCTCTCCGTTGAGGGGGGCAGGGCAGTAGGGGACTCGGGGGCCGGTGCTCAGACTTCGGTCGTCTTGCCCCCTCCCCATGCCCCTGCTCCCGACCTCTCTTGCAGCCCGAGGAATCGAGAGCGCCTGCAAGTGGCCACTCTCCCAGAGTCTTCTTTCGCCGCGGGTACAAGGGAAAGCTGCGGCCGAGAGCCAGCGAGCGAGCGAGCGTGCGCGCGCGCGCGCACGCCGAGGCTCCTTCCACGGGCTCCGGCAGTGCAAAAAGCAAGAGAGAGCCGCCTCGTCCCCCTCTTCTTCCGCACGTCCGTCCCCCTTCCCGCCCCCCACCCTCGTCCCTCTGTCTGTGTTCCATGGCGAGGCCCTCCGTTGGTCCCGCTCTGTTCAAATACAACCTGATTTTACTGGGTGGCCGTTCTGACTTCTCAGCCTGTTTCCTCTCTCCTGGCGCTTCCCCAACGCGCGCAGTCTTTCGCCGGCCTCTTTCCCTAGCCCCGAATCCTCGGGTTGCTTACGTCGTGGCAGCCTCAGCCCTAAGGACCGAGCAAGCCGTCCTGAGACTCTTGTTGCCTTAGCTGGACTTCCTCTGCAAGACGGCCACAGCTCATCTGCTGCTGGTCGGGAGGCAGGAAGCGGACCATTCCCGTTCAGCTCTCAGATGCAGGCTTTCGTTTAAAAGCCACGAACAGCAAGCTCTGAATGCGGGCTGTGCCTCTGCAGAGATGATTTGCCCTGTCCTTTTTACTTAGCTGCAATGCAGATATGTCTCCTAGAAGTGTGTTCCAGCACAAATCTGTCAGATGTGCTTTGGAATCAGCCATTCAATTGTATTCTAAGAGGATGCTTGACAATTTAGACATCTTTCTGTAACTCTGTGTTCAAATTCAGTTATACTGACTTTATCTGGCAATTTTCTAGCATTACTAAATCTTTTCTATATCTATTAGACATTTCAGATATGAGTTTGTTAACGGTTTGTTGTAGCTTTGTGCACTCGAACTTTCCTACACTCAGCCCTTTGTCTCATTACTAAAAGGCAAGCGCCCAAAGTTTTTTTTTTTTGTATAATTGACTGCACTGTAGCACTGTCCTCCCATTGTTCATTGATTTGCTCAAGCGGGCACCAGTAACATCTCCATTGTGATACTTATTGTTACTGTTTTTTGGCATATCGAATGTCATGAGTAGCTTGCCAGGCTTTGTTGGGTGGGCAGGATACTCTCGGTTGCTTGCCAGGCTCTCTGAGAGGGATGGAGGAATCGAAGCCAGGTCAGCCACGTACAAAGCAAACGCCCTTCCTGCTGTGCTACTGCTCCAACCAGTATAATTAACTATAGAATCATGATCACGATCATCCTGTTGTTCATCGATTGCCTCGAGCAGGCCCCAGTAACGTCTCCTTCGTCCTAGCCCTGAGATTTTAAGAAGTGCCATATTCAAGGCTCTTTCAGGGTTAGGAGAATGATATCCATCATTGTTACTGGTATTTGGCATATTGGGTACGCCACGGGGAGTTTGCCAGACTCTGCCATGTGGGCAGGTAACATTCGGTAACCTGCCAGGTTGTCCAAAGTAAGAATGAGATAATAAGATATAAAACCTAGCTTCTAGAAGTGTGCGGCCGCAAATGCGGCCGCGTGACATCTTATTATCTCATTCTTAACTAAAGAATAGGAATTTGTAAAATAAAGTTTAAAAAACCACTGAAGATGGGGGTATGCTGCCGCCAGCAGGTCAATCTGGTGCCTTCAGACTCCCAGATACCCCAAATAACTGCTATGCCTTTGGCCAGACCTCAAAAACTTGGGGCAAAGTTTACTAAGAATGTAAACGGCCCAATGTTAGGTATGTGGGAGACATAGTCACAAACCACCTCTGGCTCAGCTATATAATTGGAGCCAAGGCCTCTCTGGTTCCTGATCGAACTGCTTAATGGCCATGATCCCAGACACTCAGAGACAAATCTCGGAACCCAGCAGCTTTTGGCAGATGTTTCCGGTCCCCAGAATGGTTTATTGGCACCAGACCAACCCAGTGGGGAAAGGGTGCTGTCCCTCCACCTGCTGCCCCTTGGTGGCTCGGTGGCCGCCATACTCCAGAGGCCATTGAACAGTCAGGTTTGGGCCTGCAATGACAAGACACGCGGGAACTCACAGGATGGGGTGGAGCTGGCCCTTTTCTCCCCGCCCCAAGAAGACACTGAATCGCTGCCCACAAACAGCCTCTCTAGCTCCTGATCAAGATGCTTAACGGTCATGATCCCAAAGACTCAGAAACAAATCTCGGAACCCAGCGGCTTTTGGCAGAAATGCGTCCAGTCCCTGCAGTAGGTTACTGGTGCCAGGCCACCCCAGGTGGGAATAGGTTTCATGCCTTGGCCTGTTCCCCCTGGCGGCTCAGTGGCTGCCATCCTCCAGAAACCACTGGACAGTCAGGTTTGGGCCAACAGTGACGAGACATGCTGGGCCTCACTGGATGGGGGTGGAGCTGGCACTTTTCTCCCCACCTCAAGGAGACCCTGAGTCGCTTCCCACAAACAGTCTCTCTGGCTCCTGATCAAGCTACTTAATGGCCATGATCCCAGAGATTTGGAGACAAATCTCAAGACCCGGTGGCTTTTGGCAGAAATGAGTCCAGACCCTACAGTAGGTTACTGTCACCAGGCCACCCCAGGGGGGAAAGGGTGCTGTCCCTCCGCCTGCTCCCCCTTGGCGGCTCAGTGGCCAGAGGCCATTGGACAGTCAGGTTTGGGCCTGCAGTGACGAGAAACGTGGGGCCTCACGGAATGCGGGTGGAGCCAGCCCTTTCCTCCCCGCCCCAACGAGACCCCGAGTTGCCACCTATAAATGGCCTCTCTGGCTCCTGATCAAGTTGCTTAATGGCCATGATCCAAAGAGACTCAAACAAATCTCGGAACCCAGTGGCTTTTGGCAGAAATGTGTCCGGTTCCCACAGTAGGTTACCAGCGCCAGGCCACCCCAAGTGGAAAAGGGTGCTGTTCTTCCACCTGTTCCCCATTGGTGGCTTGGTGGCCACCATCCTCTAGAGGACAGTCAGGATTGGGCCTGCAGTGATGAGACAAGCGGGGCCTAGCAGGATGGAGGTGGAGCTGGCCCTTTCCTCCCTGCTCCAATAAGATCCCGAATTGCTGCCCACAAATGGCCTCTCTGGCTCCTGATCAAGCTGCTTAACGGCCATGATCCAAGAGACTCAGGAACAAATCTCGGAACCCAGCAGGTTTTGGCAGAAATCCATCCAGATTTAATTGTTAAAATTTCAAAATTCCAAAATCGCGTGGCCACCACTGCAGCCGCACAACATCATATATTATTCATAACCAGCAATAGAAAACAAATTGTCACTATTGCCTTTTCAGCATATCTGAGTGTTGGGGTAAAAGCCCAAATAATAATGGTGGGTCTGGTGTCGAAATATTGAATATAATCAAAGGAGAGAGAGTAATGTGGAAATCATCTGCCCCACAGGTAGGGGGAGGGTGTGGGATGGGGGCATACTGGGTTTTTGGTGACGGAAAATGGGCACTGGTGAAGGTACGGGTGTTTTATTGTATGACTGAGACTTAAACCCAAAAGCTTTGTAACTGCTCTCATGGTGATTCAATAAATGAAATTATAGAAAAGGAAAAAAAAGTAAGGTGTTCGTGCTCAATTCAATCAGCCTAATCAATGGCTGAATAAATAGCAATACTCCTACCTAAATAAAGCCACTGGAGAAAATTAACTTAAAACATTAAAGTATTAGCATCTACATAGTCTCTGATGATCTTTTGAATTTCTTTGGTTTCCATTGTGATATCCCCATTCTTATTTCTGATTCGGTTTATTAGGGTTCTCTCTCTCTCTGTTTCTTTGTGAGTGTTGCTAGTGGTTTATCTATCTTGTTTATTTTCTCAAAGAACCAGCTCTTGGTTTCATTGATCTTTCGGATTGTTTCTTTGGTTTCCATGTCGTTGATTTCTGCTCTAAGTTTTATGATCTCTTTCCTTCTGCCCTATTTGGGCTCCTTCTGTTGATCCTTTTGTAAGATCTTGAGCTGTGAAGTCAAGTTGCTTATGTACATCCTTTCTTCTGTCCTTAGATATGCTTGCAGGGCTATAAATTTTCCCCTTAATATGGCTTTAGTTGCATCCCATAAATTCTGGTAGCTCGTGTCTTCATTCTCATTTGTTTCCAGGTACCTTTTGATTTCGTCCTTGACTTCGTTCCTGACCCACTCGTTGTTCATCAGTGAGTTGTTTAGTTTCCAGGTGTTTGATTTGGTTCTCCGTGTCTGTGTGTGATTCACTTCTATCCTCAGTGCATCGTGGTCTGAAAAGATTGTTGATACCATTTCTATCTTCCTGATTCTATTGAGGTATGTTTTGTGGCCTAGTACATGGTCTATTTTGGAAAATGTTCCATGCGCACTGGAGAAGAATGTGTATTCTTCCTTTTGGGGTGTAAAGCCCTGTATAGGTCTATAAGTACTTTCTCTTCTATTTCTTCATTCAAAGCCAATGTTTCCTTGCTGAGTTTTGTACTTGTTGATCTATCCAGAGGTGATAAGGCAATGTTGAAGTCTCCAACTACCATTGTGTTGCTAGCAATGTCCTTCTTAAAATCTGTTAGCAG